CGCGAAATCCACAACAAACAAACCTTGCCAGGCTTTTATATCATCTTTCCCCTGAGGTGTGGATCATACCTAAATGAGGGGTAGTTGTTTAGGAATTAAGCTCCTCTCTTTTACAAGTAATGAGAATGACAACTGATACAAATAATCATAATTGTAGGATACTTCACTAGGACTTAAGTCTGACAAAAAGTATTGTTGTATCATAAGAATTCTCTCTGTCCAACAACTATAGAGACATAACAATGACATAAGAAGCCAGCCAGCCAGTGGATTGCACTATATAGCAAATGTTGAAGAAATACACATTAATGCTTTATATGTAAATCAATAATTGTATTTTTCGCTTTACATTCGTGTCAGTTTTGCTTTTATTGCTGTCTAAGTTAATTTTATCTTTCTAAAAACAAATCTATTTAAACCTCTTTACTGCAGACTTTTGGCTTACCGTGATTATAATTCTAACTGTGAACAACCACAGACTAATTAAAACTAAATATGCTTTTTCATTACATTTTACTTCTGTTTCTGATTATTTCTGTAAACTATAATTATGAAAAGTTACAATCTAAACCCATGTAGAACGTGTAGTGCGGGGATATATTTGTGATTTAAGTAAAGGCTTTAAGTGTTACAATTTGGCAAGAACTAGAAGCAGCCCTCTACTTGATCATGGCTCATACTTTTGTTTGTAATTAAGCACAAAGTTACACAAAGGGCTATCTGTGCTCTACCCACCGCGAGTATCGAAACCCGGTTTCTAGCGTTGTAAGTCCACAGACATACCACTTGCGGGTGGACGTGGCTCATATTAATCGTGGTAAGAATTATTGATACATCCTCTGTTATGAAAAGCCAATAGAAGAATATAAAATCAAGCTTGATGACTTAATGTGTCTATGGAATGCACCTACAGCATGTAAACAGCTCCGTTCTGGATGGACTGGTCTATGTCTTGTACATTGATACCTCAGTGAAAAGAAGTATATATCGTAGCAGTTGCACGATGTAGTATAAATCCGTTTTTATGCTTGGATAGTTACTTCTCGAATGATAACCTATTGAAAGAATAAATAAAATCAGTAATTAATGGTGGTTATGTGAAATTTAGTTTTGTTGGAAGTTTATGCATGAAAACTTTGAAATCTATGTTAACGTTAATACATAGGTAAAATGTTTCACAGAAGAAAAAGTAAAATCATGATACCATCTGTACGTTCAAGAAAATTCTGAATAACTCATAAGAGATGCGAACCCCATTTATTTCTTAATGAGATAAAAACAAAAGGAATCTCCTCTAAACTGACACACACACACACAATTAATTTCTGGAATCTTTATTCTGCATTTCAGTACTGAAATAGTGTTATAAGGCACTTATTATTAGTTATACTCCCTATCAAATTCTAGTAAGAAAATGCAAGTCCTTCTAGCCTGGCCACACGTTACAAAGAGCCCAAAATACACTCTAACTTCCTCATTATTGTTCGCAAACTCTTCTCAACACGCGCTGTTCTAAAAGGAAAGCCTGATAATTCACACAATGGTAAGCATCTGTTGTTTCAATCACATTTAACCAAATCTAGAGACTGGTGTACCATCATTCTATACTAATATCTTACTTGGAAACATCAAGTTAATCCAAAGAAGGCAAAATCTGCAATTAAAAAGCCTAATTCTGTAATACTAAAGCCAAAAGCACATTAGTTCACCTAATGATCAACAGGCGTCAATATGAATGAGTTCAATGTCTGAAAATATTTAGTATGACCCAATGTATATCAGTACCAAGTTTCATGCTTTTAACTCAAAGTGCACGGCATTTTTCTTAACTGCTCCACTAAGAGGAGATATCACGAAATTATTTTAATTCAACATGTAATTAGTTGGCTTTATAACAAATATAAACTTATAAAGCAAATTTGTAACTTTCAGAAGTATTTATTTCAACTTTGGAAAATTAAAAAGTTTCTTGTGAAGTGCTATTTTCTTTTTGAGCTTGTTATTTTTTTATTAACCATCACTGTAGTATTTTAATAGTGGGTTGTTCATACATTTACAGTGTTTGATTCTTCACGGTGGACAGAACGCATTAGTCCATTGTACAGCTTTGTACTAAAAACAAACAACCAGACTTTGATGATTCAAATATTTCAGTTTAACTTAATACATCTTCATTTAATTTAACGTATTTCTTTTTGTTTAACATTACTTTAATGTTGTCTTTTAATTAACGTAACTTATAGTAAATTCATCCATTCGGGTTTTTATGCAGTGTTGTTTCCTTCAAGTACTTTTATTCGTTAACTTTTGCTTTCCGCACCTGTGTTTGTCTTTCATTAAAGTGTATTTTTGTTCTAACTACGCTTTCCTCTACAGATTAGATCCTCAAATCTCTTGTTATAGTGGAGATCAGGTAATCGTGTGCTTTATACTCTACCCAGTATATCACACTGGACTTGTTTCAATGCTGCTCCAAAATCAACATTTGTGGCACTAATATCTAAGATAATTTTTGCTTCTATCCTAATGTATGTCATTCCTAAAGATTAAGGAAGTTCCATAGTATTCTTGTAGGTTCTTTAAACTATGGGCCCGGCATGGTCAGGTGGTTAGCGTGTTCGACCCGCGATCTATAGGTCGCGGGTTCGAATCTCCGTCACACCAAAAATGGTCGCCCTTTCAGCCGTGGGGGCGTTATAATGTTACGGTCAATTTCACTATTCGTTGGCAAAAGAGTAGCCCAAGAGTGGGTGGTGATGACTAGCTGTCTTCCCTCTAGTCTTACACTGCTAAATTAGAGACAATTAGCGCAGATAGCCCTCGTGTAGATTTGCGCGAAATCCAAAACAAACAATCTTTAAACTATGAGGCGAAAATAATTAGTATATATCCTCCTTTATTTGTTTCTACAACCTTAAACCACTTTTAAACTGATGTAAATTGTTTAGGCCTATGTTTACAAATGACGTTATACCTCTCTAACAACACTACCAGGAATAACGTACAATCAATCTTCTTACTTGTACAAAGTGTCACAATAACTCTCTCTCTCTCTCTTATCTTATCTAACTTTATGTAATATATTTATAATTTACCCCTGTTTTAAATATTTATTTTTGTGAGCAACTTGAGCTTAACGTCACAATAAATCATCAAAAACCCGCAGCTTCTTCTAGCAAAAAAATAATGATACATTAAAATGTGTCCTTCACTATCTGTCATACTTTTTTCACAGTCTTTGGTCCAATTAAACCTAATGTCAGTTTTTGTTACCTTTGTCAGGCTATAAAGCCATTTTGGCTCACATTTTAAGGAAAAAAAATCTTATAAAACACTGCACTTTCTTTATTAGTATTTGTATAAAACATTTTTGCGCTGAGTTTAAAAACCATCAGAAGCTTATCAATTATTTGGGAAAGAAATTAATTGACATTTATCTCACTTAAAAGTTAAAATTCAAAAGTTAAATATACATTTGAGATCAGTATCTTGTTAGAAAAAAATCACAATAGTTACCAAAGCAATAAAAGGCAATACAACACAGAAAAGAAGAAAAAAAGTCTAAAACATTGTTTACATTAACCAAAAAAGATAATCATC